GCAATAAGGTTTGGCCCACAGAGGCTGGAATCAATACTCTGGGCCAAATCCTGAGGCCTGTTTTCAACTTTGAATCATTCCCTAGCAGGCAAAACCACTGACGTCAATGTGAGTGGGCCTGACTTAAGTCTGAGTCAGCTTGTGAAGGGGGGTCTTCTCAGCTCGGGGTCCTTCTTCTTGTGAAGCAGCATGCTCATCCTCTCCCTGCTGCACAGCTCTCGTCTCTTCTAGCTCCCCCAGGGCCAGCTTTTGGGTTTGGAGACACTTGGGCTAGTTAAAGACTGGGTGATCCTTGTCTATAGCAGCAGCTTGGGGAGGATGCTGTGTGGACAGTGATGGCAGCTCCTCTTTGTGGCTATGAAATCATATGTGCAATGGCAAACTGAGGTCCTTTTTGAGGTTCCAGCTTGCAAGGGCTTATGTATGTGTGTAACAGGGCTGAAGGAAGCCGTCTGAATGGGTCATGACTTAACCAGAATAGCTCACCTGAAGGGAGCAGGGTGTTGCATAAGGGCTTGCAGGTTTGGACCCTTTGTAAGGTGAATTAGATTGACTTGCAAGTGCAAATTCCAGCTGTGTCACAGCCGTGTTGGAGAGACGGCAGGGAGCATCTCTGCAGGGGAGAAAACAGGAGGGGCATTCTGGAGGCAATAGATGGACCGATTTCATTCCCATAAATTTGGACGGGCTGCTTTGCACACGCTAAAGCTGTGATAAAACAGCTCCAGCAATAAAATATCTGCAAGACTGAAAGCGAGCAAATAACACGGCCCCCTACCTCAGGCAAAGTCTACTACTGTCTGTCGCGTCGTACCATTCTGGCAGCAGCCTGCCCACATTTCATAAGGCAAATTAGCAAATGTTAAGGTTTCCCTGTTTCCTATATTAGATACGCACAGTATATGTACATACAGCAGAAACACCACGAGGTTTTTGTTTGTGTGAGATCCGGGACACGTTTGGAAACAAGATTTACATCTCATTGTCTTTTTTCCTGGTAATCACTTATGACCTTTTAACATCACATTTTAAAAATATATCTATTTGGCTTCTGAGTTGCCATTTTTAGTTCATTTTTTTTAAGCTTGTGTTATGGTTTCTGTTGGATTCTCATTGGGGACCACTGTGAGCTAATATAAAATACAAGCGATTGAAAGAAATACTAGTGTACTGGGAACTGATAAAAATAATCCCCTTTAACTGGTATTATTTAGCTGTGAACTCGGTTATTTGCAGTGTCTACAACATCTGTTTTGGTGTTCCTGCATGAATTAGAGCATCTGTATCTATCTTTATATTTTAAAATGATACAATACAATGGAGTTTCATTAGTGTCATTAAAAGTAAAAGCATTATACAGGAGATCAGGCTTAGGGAAATGAACACGTGTATAACATGTTTCTGTCATGAGCTAAGTGGGCACAAGCGCTGTGTGTTTCCTGGCTGTTCCATTAGCAAGGCTGAGTTACAAAGACGAAGCTTGTTGAACTCAAGCCAACGACACCAGGAAAGCAGAAGCCACTGAGCAGAGACACGATGGATGTTTCAGACAATGCAGGTTCTCAGTGGCAGGACCATTGCAGTCCTCAATGGCTTTCACTGTCTTAAGGGGGAAATTCAGGATATCGATCTATTTAAAGAGAGCAGAGCCTGCGAGTGCGAATTGCACTTCCAGCAGAGAGAGCTCTAACAAGGCTCTCCTGGCATCATCTCGGCATTTGTCAGCCATTGATAAAATTGGGCAAAAGTGGTCCCAGAGAGCACCATCTGCCTCCCAGTGAAAGTTGGGATGTAATAGGATGGGTAGGACTGATGAGAGCACATGACTGGTGAGGAGAGACTGAGGGAAATGGGCTGATTTAGTCTGCAGAAGAGAAGATTGAGGGGGGATTGAATAGCAGCCTTCAACGCCCTGCCGGGGGGTCCCAAAGAGGATGGAGCTGGACTGTTTTCAGCAGTGGCACATGACTGGACAAAGAGCAATGGGCTCAAGCTGCAGCAAGGGAAGTTGAGGTTGGATATTAGGAAAAACTCTCACAAGGAGGGCGGTGAAGCACTGAAGCAGGTTACCCAGAGAGAGGTGGTGGAGTCTCCATCTTTGAAGGTGTTTAAGACCCGGCTAGACAAAGCCTTGTCTGTGATGATGTAGTTGGGGCTGGTCCTGCTTAAAGCAGGGGGTTGCACTAGATGTGACCTCCTGAGGCCCTTCCCACCCTCATTTTCTATGATCCTGTGATTTTATGATAAGCCCCACCAGCTAATCAAGGTGTAGTCTGAGCTATTCCAGGCTGGATTCTTACTCTAAAAATGAAGTGGCTCCATTCAAATCAGTCAGATGTAAAGTCAATCAAAGTGAGTCTGTGATCAGGTCCCCGTGTGCTGATAATGGTTTGCAAAGTCCTTTGAGACCCCTGATCGAAGCACGCTGCGCGTGAGCATGGCGTTCACATTCTTCCAAGACCTTCTGCTGCAGCTGGTTGCCACTACGGAGCTCAGCTACGGGATGACCCTCTCTCTGAAGCTGCTGGCTTTTCTGCCCTTCTCCCTGTTGCTCCCTGTAATACTTGTAAAGCATGTGTAACCGCGGTCTATTCAGCAGCGAGATTGCTTTTAGATGAGATTCTGGACACTGTTTCTGGCTTTATGGGCCTCTGAAACCATTAAAGCCTCGTGAAGGTGGTGTTAATGTAGTCACATTTGCATTCAATGTGGATTCTTCTTTTTTCCACAAGCCTTAGCATGTCAGCTTGCCAACTCACCGGCTCCTCAAACAAACAGACGCAAGAGCCTTCCAGTGAGACTGGAGAGAAGCTACGGCCCTAATATATGAACCTTCCCTTCCTTGCAGATAGGATGCACCTGAGAGCGCCTGCCGCATCCGTTGGAGCACTAACGTGCAAGTGGTTTTCTATCTGGTTCCTGGTTCTGACATTCCCATGGCAACGTCACCCCAGTTGAGTCACCGTTTGCTGCTACACGAGTAGGACTCGTTCAGAAAGGTTGCAGCCGGCACAGACACTTCTCCATGTGTTCTTGATGACTGGTGAATGCAGGCTGAGAGGCTGCATGACGACGAGCTCTTTATTGAGTCTGGCAGGGTGCATGCTCTCCAAGGTTAGACTGCTTAATGGAGCAAGTAATGTAAAGTAAAGGGAATGAAGAGAATAACATGCAACAGCTGTGATCAGCTAAATTTTAAATACAAGGCAGCCACTGAATACCCCAGCTCCACTTGACAGACAAATTGGACACACATCTGATGTTGAATCAGAAAGTGAAAATGGGGTGAAGTAACACTGAGCTTGCTAGCGACCTGCCCTTAGATACAACTTCATCACGTGCTCTACATCCAGGTTGTGCGCGTCTTGAACACGCATGTATACACTGGATATAAAAGTACTTACCACATTATTTATTTTATTATATAGGAGATGGGAGGAGCCTTCTGATGGACCCCTATTTCACTGGCTCCTTCTAGTCTGGTGGAAGAAAGAGGTCTGGTGTGAGGAAAGGATTCAACGTGGCACCCTATTGTGGTTCCCTACCATGAAATGACTTGTTGAATTCAGTCTGTGCCTTTGCACACGTGTGTGTTGCTCAATTACACGTGAAGCTGGTTGCACGGCCTGTGATTCAGAATGCCTGATGCTTCCCTTGACAAAGCTCTTTTCTGTTGCTTATCACTTGACTAAGCTCTAATGATTTGGGCTGGTGTTTGCCAGGTGTTTGCCTTGGGCTACATATTTCCTGGGAAGGCTCAGCAGAAAAGAGCATAAGCAGCATGGAAATGAAATGACTTGGCTTGGATGCTGGGGTCAGGGGGAGAGTTAGGCTGGGTGGGGAGGAGGGTACAGCAAGGGAGGAGCTCTGGGCCTGCCTGGGCATGGATGGACGGCACGCTGGGGCTGGCTGTGCAAGGAGACGGGGAGTGGGAGAGCAGATGGGTGAAATGTTCTCAAGCCACGCGTGAAATGTTCGCCCGGATCTTCCCAGCACAGCCCTGCCAAGGCACCATCATCGCAACAGGCATCCGCTTACAGCCTTCCACAGGGCACGGTGGCAACTATCGGGGTGGTTAACGTCACACCAAAATGCAGGGTCCTTGTACAAGAGAAGCCAGGTATTGCGGTAGTGCCAGGACAAGGGGAGAATCAACCAAAGACCCCCCTACTTGTGAACACGGCCAAAGGCTTGTAGGGTTCCAGACGCATGTCGGCGCTGGATTCACCCTGGGAAGCAAAGGCCATGTCACAGTGTGGTCTGGAAAGAGCCATTTCTTCTGAACAGAGGGCTTGTTAGAGCGTTATGCCTGTGGTGATGCCACTTGATGCAATTTGTGGGTGCTGAACCTCCAATGAGGTGCTCAGGACCTCATGGGATCATTTCCCCTCATCCACAACACAAGCCCAGGACTGTTCCTGGCACATGTAGCACAGGGATGGACTCGCACAGCTCAATGGAAGGAGAAGCACTGATGATGCAAAGGCAAAGCCTTTGTGGGTTGGCTTGGCAGTGAGGGATGGATGAGTCTGGGTGCTGTCACTACATGAACAAATCTGTTTTAGTCTGCGCCGTGGCACCCGTCTGCTGCCGAGATGTTTGTCTGAATTATAGTCAGGACAATTATGTGAGTCAAACAGGGGCCAGATACCCCAATGCGGGGTGCAGCAGACTGGAACAACTGCCAGGAGGCTCTGGTCTATCTGGAAGTTATCCCGAATGTAGGGCTCATGAGAAGGAAAGCAAATGCACCCTCTATTCTCCCAGGGCCAAGTGCACAAGCTGAGAGCTACGGGAGTTCACAGTCCATGAAAGAGCAATGCAAATCTGGGCTGGGGCGATGCCCCAAGCAGCACAAGGGGCTGAGCACTGATTCCCACCGTGTGATCAAACCAAATCAGTTCCTGTCCTGCTGAGGGGTTTTCGCATCGGCACAACTCCCGCAGCCTCGACAGTGACGGGGCTTTCCCCTCTGTGCCCTTCGCAGGTTCCCCGCCACCATGAGCGCCGATGATGACGCCGAGTGGCTGCAGTGGGTGACCAAGCAGTTTGAGAGCATCGCTGGCGAGGACAAAGAAATCGACCTGGAAGAGTTCAAGACGGCGCTTAAAGTGAAGGAGGCACGTTTCCTCTTGGGGGTGGGAAATCAGCGGCGCTTCTGTGTTCCTGGGGAGGGAACAGGGACTGAGCCTGCAAATCAATGCAGGTAGAGTGGGACTGGCCTGCAGCCCATTACCCCGGCTCCGTTACAGAAGGAGAAGCTAAAAAATTAAAAGAGCAGGAGCTAAGGACACAGGGTTAGAAAGAAACCTTGGAGGACGATCATAATATTTGTTGTACATCATTAGCATCTGTTGGAAACAGGTGAAGGAATAGGGTGTCTCCACATTGCAGCCACCACAGCACCACATCCCCCATGTACCACACATGTCCAGTTTAAGCCAGCTAGCTCAGGGGCCAGTCGTAGTCCAGCCACAGCAGTACAGAGTTCAACCTTAGTTGCAAAACCCATCTGAGAAGTAGGGCATGTTAGCTCGGATGAGCACGGTGCTCATGACGTGAGGCTGCTACAAGCATGCAGGGTAACTCTGCTAGCGCAGCACGACTGCTGCTGCAACCCTCGGCTGTGCTCAGTATCCACCCTATACTCTCCTCGGTTATGAGGCAGCCGATCGCCGTGGTATTCAGCTCCTGTTGAGGAAAGATTTGTCTAAGACTTTGAAAGAGTCGGTTGTGGACCCATGATGCACTTACCCCAGAGTAGCTTGACTTTACTCTGGGGGAAAGCATGGAGTTGGGCACATGACATTCACACAGTGCTATGCAGCGTTAGTCATTTTGTAAATCGAGTGGCACCCAATTTCAAAAATGAATTTATATATTACTTATATATTTGATCTCAGCACTATTCGTGCCCGGGGGAGTTGGACTTGATGATCTTTCGAGGTCCCTTCCAGCCCTTAATTTCTGTGATTCTACGATTCCACTCGGGAGCAAATTTACCTCTTGCAAAGTGGGGAGTAACTACACTGGTGTAAGTTATGCTAGTGACCTGGTTACATGTCTGCTCCCTAGTTCAAGGTCAGTCGAGAGAGGTAGTTTGCTCGATGCTACCTACTGGCCAGATGCTACATTTGCACCTATGGCATTTGCACCAGTGGTGCATCTACTACTTAACAGGGAATGCATTTACTACAGAATAAAATCTGCAATAATGATTCCAGATGTCCATGCTCTTAATTCATAGTTTGGAAGGCCCCTCAACTGGTTTTGAAAATATGTTTCCTCTTTCTCTAGTCTTTCTTTGCAGAGAGATTTTTTGCCTTGTTTGACTCAGACGAGAGTGGAACCATCAGTTTAGATGAGCTACTGAAAGCCTTGAACCTGCTCATACATGGAAATGAGTCAGACAAGCTGAGATTCCTCTTCCAAGTTTACGACGTGGATGGTGAGACCCTGAAAAATGTGTGCGTGAATTTGCACGTGTATAAAATAATCTCATTTTTTCCTCAGATTTTAGTGCGAATGATTATCCACCCCAAAAATTCCTCCTGGAAAGTAGGCTGTTTTCTATTTTCGTCTTCAAAAATGTCACTGATGTAACCAGAAGTTGGAAGTGAGAGAGGAACAGTGGAAAAAACCCTGCTCATCCCTTGTTCATTCTCCCTTTCAGGATCTGCTCTCTGCCGCGGTGTGACACAGGAGACTGGGCAGGACGGACCTAGAGTCTGACCCAGTCAGTAGTAGTTTACAAAATGAAAGATCCGTGTTTGTGACAAGCGGTGTTTACAGTGACTGGTTCGATCAGAAACACCAGGGCAGAGTTGCAGCCAGGGATCTGACTTTCTTCTCCCTACCTGAAATTTGCAGAGGGGGTTAGGTTTGAGGATCAAAACTCTTGACATTTGGTCAAGTACTGCAGTTCCAACGTGCGCGAGTCTTCGTGTGAAATGCTGTCTGTATTTCTCCGTTAGGAAAGGTGGAAATAGGTATAGAAACTTCCCGGTTATTCCAGAACTGAGACTCAAGTGGAATTCGCCATGATGTTTTGCTTCTGGCGGAGGATGTCTGTGTACACCTTGAGACAGTGAACCCTGTCGATTGAAGCTTGGCACTCGCATCCTCCACGCAGTTGCTTCCTGTCGGTCCCTTGCAGGGGCATCGGAATTAGACCAATCTCAGACAAATATGCTGGCTAGTCTATTAGCAGCCATACAGCATTAGCCCCAGCAGAGCGGCTTCCTTATGAAAGTCCTGGGTGAAGGGAAGGAGGCCTATTTCTGCATCCAAGGCACGAGCTAGGCCTAAAAGCCCCTGGGCCTTCCATAAGCTGGTTCACCAGCAAGGACACTTCTGTCGGCCATCTCAGTAGCATAGGATAAGCACATTGTTGCTGCGGTTGGGGCTAGGTGCAAGTTCTCCTTCCTCGTAGGTAGCGGCTCTATCGACCCAGATGAGTTGCGCACGGTCCTGAAGTCCTGCCTGCGGGAGAGCGCCATCTCCTTGCCAGAGGAGAAGCTGGATGACCTGACGCTGGCACTTTTCGAATCGGCCGACAAGGACCACAGCGGCTCCATCACCTTCGAGGAGCTCAAGGAGGAGCTGGAACGTTTCCCGGAGGTGATGGAGAACCTGACCATAAGGTAGCAGCTTTGGTGGGGGGCGATCCAGGGGGTACATGGTGCAGTCACGCCTCCCTTTGATTCCTGCTCCACTCCAAGTTTAAAACGACCTGCCTGGCAGTGGCAATGGCATTTCTATTTAGACAGCAGGGAAAGGGTCAATTGAATTCATGGCCCATTATCATCTCCCTGATTCATTCTAAACCCTTCATTCCACAGGTGTTAACGACCCTCTCTGCTTTTTAATGGTCTGGATGTTCCACTAATCAAGCTAGCTTTTCTTCTGCAGTTCTGCTGTCTGTGGGCTGCTCCTGGTAACATAGCTCTTATTTCACGGCCTTGCAGATTTTTTTTCAACTCATTCCAATGAAGCAATTTGTTCTTGCTTCTATTTTAAAATACTAATCCAGCCCTAGGCCCTACTACTACTAACCCACGCCCTAGGCGTGTTAATAACGTTTCTTGTTCCTTTTTATCTGGAGAAAAGAGTGTGTTGTGTTATATGGGATGATGCATTTTACCATCTGCACTCCCCTTTTCAAAATCCTAGATCCTCCCATGGAGGTCCTGATTCTAATCATTCTCTCTCGTTAGCACTTTGCCCTTCCCCCTGTTTGTGAGTATTATGCATGTCTGCAGCCAATCAGTCACGGGCAGGAGCCTTTAATTTTCCCCCCTTGGGGCTGTGTGTGCTCCTTTCACCACCGGGCTGGACCCTGTTCAGTTGAGGCATCAGGGATCCCTCCCAAAGCAGGGCCTTTGCATTTGAAAACTCATGGACTTCCAGGATGCCACATCCCCAGTGCTGCTTTCCAGCCGCACGCGCTTCCTGCGCCTGAGTCTGGTGCTCCCATCTCTCGCCCAGTTACGAATCACCGTAATTCCTGGCATAAGTCTACAGCAGCTCAGTGCACATGGGGCTGATCCCATGCAGATCGGCAAGCCGGGCAAAGATTGGGGTGTTGCAAAAGGAAAGGCCCCATCTCCTAAGGCAGCAGTTCCCAACCTCAAGTCGTGACCCAAATGAGGACCGTGCGGGCAATGCCGGTGGCACCGCATGCAAAGGACGAGCCGCACCGCGTGCCGGGAACTGCCCCACCCCTGGGCCACGGGCCACTGCCACCGCACTCCGCTCCCAGCAGCGGGTCACGGCAAAAAAAAGGTTGGGAACCTCTGTCCTAAGGGGCTGGGACTCTCCTGAGGGGACCTGAGCTTGTCCTCTACCCCTCCTGCTTAAATCAGGTCCATGGCTTCACCACAGACATATCCTGGAAGGCCCCTCATAGCCTGTGAGCGGCAGACAGAGGCTCCCAGGGAGGAAACTGTGGACGTGGAAGTGAGCAAACTTGGCTGTGGTGGTCCAGCCCCAGCTCTCCTCATAGTCCGTACAATGAAGGGGCCACGTAGCGCTGTGGGTAACACATCAGCCTCAAGGGTGCTTCCCCCCATTGATGGAGAGTCCCCCAATCTCTCCGCCATGGCAAGAGCCCACAGGCTGGGCACTTCCTGCCCTCCAGGAAGCTGGGACGTGGAGGTGGCAGGTGCTGTGTGTGCCCCCAAGCCCCCCGCCAGGGCCAGGCCAGGGCATTGCAACAGCTACACTCCTCCCCATCATGCCATCAACCAGCTGGTGGGAGACCAAGAGATGCCGCAGCCTCTGAGCGGAGACTCGCAGGCTGCGTTCACTCCAGAGGGGAGTGGCATAAATCCCGAGGGGGTCCTAGGAGCAGTGCCATGAGGCTGCATGCTCTGACCGCCCCCCGGCCACAGGCTTGCAAGGGAAGGCCAGCACCTCCTTCGTGCGGTGAGGCCGGGGACCAGCTGGGTCAGCGGTATCATGTAGCCTGGTAGAGCACGGGCGGTGCCAGCCGCCGGCTGCATCCCCAGCCCCGCTCCTCTCCTCCCCGACAGCGCTGCCAACTGGCTCAAGCCCCCCGCGCACAAGAAACGGAGCCGCCGGCCGCGCTACCTCACCCCGGCGTACTGGCACAACAACCGGAGCAAGCTCCTCTTCCTGGGCACCTACGTGGGCACCAACATCCTCCTCTTCGTCCTCGCCGCGCTCCGGCACGCAAGTGCCGGGGGCTGGGTGCAGGTGGCTCGGGGGTGCGGGCAGTGCCTCAATTTCAACTGCACCTTCATTGGCGTGAGTCCTGCGTCTCTCCCAAGTCGGGCCGTCCTGCCGGAGGGGGGAAGAGCCCCTGGGTGCCAGAGGTCCAGGGTGGGGTGGGGGAGTTTTCTCACAGCCACAGTGCTGAGGATGGGAATCCCTGAGCCCCACGGTGGCTGCTGGTGCCTCCATGCATCCACCCCGTGGCCAGGCCGGTGCCCTGGAAAGAGCCACACGTCCTCTCCCTTGCTAAGGAGGCCACAGCTGAGCAGACAGCCTTGCCCATGAGAGGAGGCTTTGAGCCACAGGCCCCCATCACGCTGTCCACGTGCCCGGCTTGTGGCTCCAAGCAGCATAGCTCTCCCACGCCCACGGCAGCCCCATTTCCCCGGCTCTCAGTGGCCTGGTATGACACCCTCTTTGCACCAAAGAGGAAGGCAGGGAGCGTCCGCGGAAGGGAGCTCAGCCTGTCCTCTGCCCCCCAGGTGCTCATGCTGCGGCGGTGCCTCACCTGGCTGCGAGCCACCTGGGTGGCCAAAGTGCTGCCGCTGGACCAGAACGTTGTCTTCCACCAGCTCGTGGGGTACGTGGTGGCCGCGCTCGCCACCGTCCACACCGGCGCCCACGTGGGCAACTTCGGTGAGTGCCGGGCCTCGGCCCTGCCGTGGGTTTTAACGCCTCTCCACTATAAATACAGCTCAGAGAGGAGGCACGCCTCCCACGGAGGGGCTGGTGCCCTGGTCTGAGCTTGCCTTTGGATGACACCAGTAGCTAATCCCGTTGGCGTGGGCTGTTTTTCCTGTGCTCAGCCAGGCTGGCTCAGACCCAGGCTTGCTATTCCCTCTGGGAGTACCTGTTCACCACGCGCCCCGGCATCGGCTGGGTGGGCGGGAGTGCCTCCATCACGGGGATCATCCTGCAGCTCCTCATCGCCCTGATGCTCCTGTGCTCCAGCACCTTTGTCCGCAGGAGCGGCCATTTCGAGGTACCTGGATTTCCGCTGCTCTCGCTTCCAGGTGGTGCCACCACCTTCCCCCCATGCTGAGGCTTGTGCCCGAGGGACCTGCTTCTCCCTGGGTTTTATAACAGTCATGCTGGGGCAGTTACTGGAGACCTGGGGGGCAGAAACTGGAGCTTTGCAAAGCAAGAAATCCAGAGGGACTAAAGGAAGCTCCGCTGTCTGTGACACCTGCTTCAATCCCAGCTGGCCCCACTGACATAAACTGCCCTTTTGTGGTCTGGGCGTATATTTGAAGTCCAGGGCAGCAGGGTGCCCTGATTTCTCCTAGGATTTTAACTGCTGGGTGGTGTTGTTTGCTCATTTGCTATTGGGGTGGTTTGTTTGGGGGCATAGAGAAGAAGAGGCTCAGCCCATGCCTGTAAACAGCCAGGAAAAGAATAGCTGAGCTGGAGCTGCGCAGCAATGACGCCTGCGGCAGGACTGCATCTTGCTGCTCTTCTGCTCATTAGTCTTGGCTGTTGTTCGTCACTAACAGCCAGTCAGTATCTCCACTAAGCAGCTGCTGTTTCGCCCTGCAGGTCTTCTACTGGACTCATCTCTCCTACATCCCGCTCTGGGCTTTGCTGATTCTCCACGGCCCGCATTTCTGGAAGTGGTTTGTCGTGCCAGGGTGCCTCTTCGTGACGGAGAAGATCGTTGGCCTCGCTGTGTCGCGCATCGGGGGGCTGTCCATCATGGAAATCAACCTCCTGCCATCCAAGGTGTGTCCCCAGCGTGACCCGGGAAGGCTAGGAAGGGAAACACCCCTTAAAACCACCCCACCATTGAGCAGGTGGGACTGGAAAGAAAGGCGTGGGAATTTCTGGGTGCTATTTCCACCTGTTCCTGACTTGCTATGCAGACGTTGGATGAGATGTGCCCAGACAGCAAATTGGAAGGCAAAGGAGACCTAAGTCGTGATGAGCTCTGCTTGTGACATTGTCGACTCTGATCCCCTGGGCTGTCCCTGGAGGGGGTGACAGCCAGGGCCAGAGGCACTTGGGTCTCTTCCCATGTTGTGCCTACTCTGGGCCCCTCTTAGATGCACTCTACACATGCATGCCAGCCCATGTATGTTATCTCATGCACGTGAACACGTGCATGTGAACATCTCCTTGCCCTGCTAATTCCAGGGGTGCATACATCTGATAGCTCCTTTGCTTTGAACAACCCTTCCTCATTAGCACCTGCATCACATTGATGCTATAGAGAAGGTGGTTGAGATGGGGTGGGGACTTTGCAGTGGTTAACTCTCCAAAAGTCCCAGCACTGAGCCATGCACCTGTTCTGCACCCGGGTGAAGCTCCCTCTGCCGTCCTCACTGTGTGATAGCCACAGGTCAAACACTAGTCACTTCTTCGTGCTAACTAGCTAACCCAGGCAGAGGCCTATTCATGCCAAGCCCTTTAACAACCCTTTGGTCTGGTGCCTCCCCTGCTTCTCACCGTGGCAGGCTGCATTCATGGTTCTGCTCGTGCTTTCAACCCAGGTGACTCATCTGGTGATTAAGAGACCGCAGTCTTTCCACTACAAGCCCGGAGACTACGTCTACCTGAACATCCCAGCCATCGCCGCATACGAATGGCATCCTTTCACCATCAGCAGTGCTCCTGAACAGCAAGGTAGTGCTGGAAACCCCGCTGAGCAGCTAAAACAGACATGCGCACTTGCACGGGGCAGTCAGATAACATTCTCCATGGTGCCATGAGGTTTTGCAGCCTGTGAGCTAGGCTTGGCGGGGTGGTTTCAACATCCAAAACTCCCTTCATTCATCGCTGGACTTGCAGCCTTCAGAGAGCCTCTGGATCTGGATGCAGAGGGGGTTTATAAACCACACCACTCCTCATCGGTCCAGTGGCTGGTTTCCCTGCCCTGTTCACCACACCACTCCTCATCGGTCCAGTGGCTGGGTTCCCTGCCCTGTTACATGTTCCCTCCCTCCCCAGTGTAGAAGCACACGTCCTAGCTGATCCGAGATGCCCGCTGCCCGCTCCTGGCCTCTCCCACCTTTCTGGCTGCTCTGCCGGCCTTCTCCTTGGCACAGCTGAGGCTTCACTGCACAGAAAGGGAAGAGCTTCCCCAAAACACTTACTGCTTTGCAACAATATAGCCCGGTGCCTTACAGCTGCCGGTTTACATGGGGGCAAAGGATTTCGGGGATGACATGTAAGCATCCCCCTTTGCTTCCTCCGTTGCATTTGAAAGCTTGCATTTCGCTTCATGTGCTGCACCCAGTTCTGTTTTCTCTGAGGCTCGGGGCAGAGTCCAGAGTCGCCCACCCCACCTCCAGATCTTCCCTGGAGTGACTTAGTTTTGTGGACCACAAAACTACTGCATTGAGGACCCATCCCTGCAGGATCTCAGGGCAAGCGTGTGCTTCCCGCAATCCAAGCAGCAACATGAGGGCCATTATTTTTCCACAATGGTCGGCCTGCATTTGGCAGATACCATCTGGCTGCATATCCGGTCTCTGGGACAATGGACCAACAGGCTGTACGAGTACGTGAGGCAGCCCGAACCGCCCGGCCTGGCACCGAAACGCTTGACCCGCAGTCTCAGGAAGAAGAGGTGCCAGAAATGGATGCAGGTCTGTACCAGCTGGGCATGATCCTCAGGACGATTGAAATGCTAGTTGGGACTACCCTTAGCTGGGTTAGACCCTGGGTTCATCTCGCCTGACATCCTGGCTCAGAGGGTGGGAGCTGAGCAGGCCACGTCCAGGGTTTTGCACCCACTTGTTCCTTTCCCAATGCAGACTCCAGCACTCAAGGGCCTTTAAAATGGGTGAGGGTGGCACTGGGTGGCAGTGATGGTACTCGGGAGAGAGCCGCGGCCTGTATGTCGAAGGCTGCCGGGGAAAGGAAGGAACATTATGCTGCTACGTGGAAACTGGACACACATTGCTTGGGGCCTCAGAAGCTGCTGCATTTTCCCAGGCTGATGTTCTCGCATCGGGCATATAGAGGGCTCTGCTGGCTAGTGAATACGCAGCCGTGAGCAGTATCTAATGCTCCCCTGCAGGTACTCAGAGCCTCCTGTCACCCTGGAGCTGCATCTCCCAGGAGAGACCCTGCTCTTCCCTGCTTCTTTGATGCTGCCCCGCTGACAGCCGGAGTGTCTCTGCCACGTCCGGCTGGGCACGGAGACCCGGACACCGCTCCTCTTCCGGGGGTGGTCTGGGGACCTGGCTCAAGCTTTGCTTGCTGTGCATCCTCCCAGGGGTACAGCCCCTTCCCAGCTGCCGTCAGACGTGTGCCCCTAAGAAAGCAGAAAGCTCTGGGTCCCGGTGGTTGTCCAGCATGATACAGGCTGCGAGAAGTGAACTAAACCCCAGGCCCCAGCCCTTAGCAGGCTAGCTGCCAGACCCGACACCAAAGCAGAGCAGCTATGGCCGGATCCTAGAGCAGAGCATGCCCAGTCCCTCAGGGACGTGTCTAATTGCAAGACTGTCTTTCCCCCTGGCTTTAGGATCTTCTGTTCGGGTCCTCGGGTTCAGCTGGCACGGTGGCCACCTCAAAGGATGAAGCGATCGAGCTGACGTCTTACAAACCCACCAAACCTGCCTGCGGATCTGCAGACCTCACCTGTGCCCAAAAGTCGGAAGAAGAGATCCTTCATCCCACAGATGTAAGGGCTCTTCGTCGGTTGTCAAGACAACCTACCGTATCTGATCTGTATCCATCGCTACCGGGGCCACACGGCTCGGAGCATGGGCTGGGTGGATGCTGGAGAGGTGGAGAGCTTGTCACGCGTTCCCCAGCTGGAGCGAGTGTCCGGGGGCTGCTAGGGCTTTTCCAACCAAACCGTGTTTTGGGAGACAGTGGAGCTCTTCCTTGCAACGAGCATTGGTTTCAATGTTCATTTTTATGGGGAAAAACCCCAACACAAGCCCCAACTGGGTTTTAGGTGTTGACCAAGAGCAGAAGCCCTTGTTTGAGAAAGAGGTGCTGCAATGCCTCCTGGGAGCTGTAGTCTGAGGCCCTCCTAACCCAGCTCTCTATGGAGGGCCTGGCTCTCCCATTGGCCTGCATTTACCATGATGCCTCGTGGCACCCTGCGTTGGCCGAGCAAGAGGGGAAACTGGGGTGCCTTCTGGGTGACGTGGTCTGAAGGGTAGTTAAGGTTCTTCTAACCCAGTAAACACATCCGTGCTTAATGTGAAGCCCTTGATTTAGGGTTGCCAGCCCTCCCAGACTGGCCGGGAGTCTACCAGAATCAGCATCCCTCTCCCGGTGACTATTGAAACCAATCTGGGAGATTTTAATAGGCTATTTTAAGATTTAAAAAAATCTCCTTGAATACCTTTAGTCAGAGTTGGCAACCCTATCGTGACCATCCCCCTGGATTTCAGTGGGATTATTCACGTGCTTCAATGAAGCAAACCTAGCGTTGTTTTCTGGGTCAAGACCTCCATGATGACTCCATACCACTCGTCGTTCTCCTTTTGTCCTCTGCAGAGGAAAATACTAGTGCTCGTGCACTAGTACACGTGCTCGTGCTCGTGCACTTCCCGTGCTGGCTGCCGGTTTGCACCAGGCGGTAAGCGTCACGTAAGGAGACGAGGTACCGGGGTTTTGTGATGAATTCCTTCTTATGAATGTTGGAAGAGATTCCACGAGGAAGCTAAAATGTGTCATAATACAGTCATCGCGAGCAAGGCGTTTAGAGACAAAGAATAAATATAAAGACCTTTTTAAATCAGCAAAGGCTCATTCGCTCTCGCTCTCTCTCTTTTCAGGGGAAAAAAATAAAGCTAAAATTAGATGTAAATCATACTAATGCTAGGAAGTTTGAGAGCCACGTTTAGTGGCTTTTATCATCTGATATGAAAAGCTCTCAGGATATTGATTCTGTCACAGCTGACGGGGTAGTCATTACAGATAAAGAATTTATATGCACCGTTTTAATGAGTTTCTCTCCCTGTTGCAGTTAAACTATTATCCGCTCTTGCCATGTGCCGAGATTTCCCCCGCCCCCTTGCCGTTGTCAGCGGGATCAACATTTTTGTAAATCTGTTCTGCCCTCCCCCGGCCCCTCACTAACGATGCCTTTGTGGGAATTCAGATAATTACTTTTTTTTTTAAATCCATATTTGATTGGATTACAATCTGGCTAATTTGCCCAGACATCTACTTGTCCCCAGAGCAGACGTTTAGATCTTTGAAAGTCCCCCCCACGAGCTAATGGCCTGGGCCATTTCTTTTCAACGCGGGTCACATTTTGTTAGCCTGGGATGCACGTGGGATGCTACCCCTCTCTGCAGAGCCGTCGTACGCACGCCTGGTTTGAAACCGAGCGGTGGGCTCATTGCTAGAAGATGATGTGTGACTTAGTCTTGGGGCATTTGTCACAACAAAAGGGGCAGGAGCCATATCACCAGGATGGATGTCCCTGCCCTGCTCAAGCCAACTGGAAATAAGTAGCTAGGTGTTACCAGAGCATCAGAAGCAAAGCAACTTGAATACTAGAGCTGGAAAGGGGTTAAGAACATTTTGGTTGATGGGTTTTTGGTTGTTTTTTTTTGCATAATAGGTCCCTGCCAAGTCGGGGGGAAACCACCAGTTCTGCAACATTAAGGTAAGATTCTCCTTTGCATCGCTGGTTCAAGCCCTCACCCACCTCCAGCGCTGTGCAAACAGGCCCCGGAGTGCAGGCAAATCCACTGAAGACTTGGGACATCGTTTCCCCACTGCGAGCTCCTTCTTCAGGGCCCAGACTCATGCATCGGAGCCCTCCAGCTCCAGGCATAAAGCCATATTTTGTGTATGCCGCAGTCGCAGCAGAGTAGTGTGGACATGCTCAAAAGGGCTAATTAGCCCTTTTGGTTAATGAATGCCCATGGTGTGGGGGAGCTCAGGGCAGGCTAATTCACGCTGTTGCCTAGGTGGGCCTTGCTGCTCGCGCTGAGTGCTGTGAGACTGCTGCAGGGGCAGGGCAAGCGGCTGTACAGATCTCCTGGGCATGTCTACACTACGGACCGTTGCTCTCTGACCCAAGTGAGGTCCCCTACACCGTTCCTACACTATGCATAATAGGAGTTTGGGGGGCAACAGGGTCCCCTAAATGAGGCATATTCCAGGGCTGGCACGTTCTGTGCCCACTCCTGTAGCAAGGACCAAGCATGGCAGGGTCGGGCCGGAAAACCAGCCGGGCCTGCAGATCTCTGGCCAGATTGCTCCGAGGTTGCTAATGATGGGTGCTGAACTCCTAAAGATCTGATCCTGGGCTCTCTGATAAATCTGGACCTGACAGTCACAGTTACATTGAACACAGAAGAGATGCAATTGCAAGGCTTCAGCGTCTTGCAAGCGTGATCCTCAGTTGTGAACAATGGGTTTTTGGGGGTGTGCAAAGGGCAAGGGCAAGACCTCGTTGATCCATCCATGTGCCTGGCATTGCCCCCTCCAGCACAGGCACAGAAACGATTTCCGTGACTCGGGCAAATTCACATGGTCAAGTATGGCCTTTCCCCACTAGTGCTATGTTGACGGCCCCTATGGTACCCCCACGCGGCGGATCTTCACTTCAGAGCACGCTGTGCTGATCGGCGCTGGGATCGGCATCACCCCCTTCGCCTCCATTCTGCAGAGCATCATGTACAGGTCAGTGGTGCATGGCTTTCCATAGGCTGCCTGGGTGCAATTTTTCCACCCCAGATGATTCATAGATTCATAGATGCTAGGGTTGGAAGGGACCTCAATAGATCATCGAGTCCGACCCCCTGCATAGGCAGGAAAGAGCGCTGGGGCCAGATGACCCCAGCTAGATGCCTATCTAACCTCCTCTTGAAGACCCCCAGGGTAGGGGAGAGCACCACCTCCCTTGGGAGCCCGTTCCAGACCCTGGCCACTCGAACTGTGAAGAAGTTCTTCCTAATGTCCAGTCTAAATCTGCTCTCTGCTAGCTTGTGGCCATTATTTCTTGTAACCCCCGGGGGCGCCTTGGTGAATAAAACCTCACCAATTCCCTTCTGTGCCCCCGTGATGAACTTATAGGCAGCCACAAGGTCGCCTCTCAACCTTCTCTTGCGGAGGCTGAAGAGGTCCAGGAGCCCCAGTCTCTCCTCGTAGGGCTTGGCCTGCAAGCCCTTAACCATACGAGTGGCCCTTCTCTGGACCCTCTCCAGGTTATCCGCATCCCTCTTGAAGTGCGGCGCCCAGAATTGCACGCAGTACTCCAACTGCGGTCTGACCAGCGCCCGATAGAGGGGAAGCATCACCTCCTTGGACCTATTCGTCATGCATCTGCTGATGCACGATAAAGTGCCATTGGCTTTTCTGATGGCTTCGTCACACTGCCGACTCATGTTCATGAAAGCCCTCGGAGTCGATTCAAGGTGCCAGGAACATCTTGTGTGTAATGGCCACTCTTCTCTATCTTCCCGCGTGCGAGGTCGGAAGGCTCTAACCCCATTTTACAGATGGGAAACTGAGGCCGTAGCACAATCTCATTCCACCTGGCTTGAGACAGATGCCTTCATGGGTCTTCTTTAGAGGGAGCTGCAAAGACATTCCCCAAGCCACATTTATCCGCCCAGACCTTGCGGAAGCTTTAGTCCAAGCTAAGAGGTATTCCCGGCAGGTGGACGGGGGGTATTTTCCAGACCTGATTATTGAAAAAGGGTGAGGTCCTTTTTAAGGGTTTTTTGCAACTTGGGAGTTGTGGAGTCCTAGAGGTTGGGAGACGCCAGCTTCCCGGATGAGAAGGGTGCCATCGCGCTGGCATTGGAAGGCTCCTTGCCGACACGGAGGGTGTTGTGTTGTCCTAGGTATCGCATGCAGAAGCAGAACTGTCCCAACTGCAGCTACTCGTGGTGCGAGACCCTCAAGGATGATGACATGAAACTCAGGAAGGTGAGGTCACGGTCCTTCTAGGCTGTGCTTGTGTGGTCGGGCTTCAGGGCCATGAAATATTTGGACCTAGGACTTGTCCTTAAATTAGGTCTCTTCCTGACTTGCTGCCCATGTGCCTTTGTGCAGCCCTTATAGGACTGTGGCTGCAGCCAGTTTGGCTGCTATATTTTAAGCAATAACATAACCGAGGGGACAAGTGGGGCATTGGCTTAGAGGGGATAGCAGAGTTGCCGCTGCCCCCAGGAGTCTTGGCCATGCCCCCGCCTGCTCTCCAGTGCTCATCTTCCACCCCTTTCGGGGCAATGGATGCTGCAAGGAGCAACGATGCCCTCGCGGCATATCTCTCCCTGCCACTGTGCCTCTAGCGCGTCCCCAAGAACTGGTGGCACTTTGCAGGTCGACTTCATCTGGATAAACCGGGACCAGAAATATTTCGAGTGGTTCGTCAGCCTGCTGACGAGGCTGGAGATGGACCAGGCTGACGAGGAGCCTGAAGGTAAGCGGCAAGCCGGGCCAGAGAATCCTGCTGGCTGCGGTTGCTGCATAGCACCAGCCTTAACCATCACAAATGCCCCCTGATGCCCCACTGGAGAGTCTGTGCTGCCCAGGGAGCAGGGTGCGGGGCAGGTGTCCTATGTCAGATGGGGGTGGCTGTTGGGAAGAAATCTGGGGGCTAAAATTCTCTGGAGAGGAGAGGTTGGTCTGGAGAAGACTGCAGCAGGGGAAACTGAGGTTGGAGATGCGAAGGAATGAGGGTGGAGAGGCTGTGGGATCTCCATCCTTGGAAATGCTCGAGAGCAGGTTGGACAGACCCTTGGCTGGGATGGTTTAGCCAGGGTCGATCCTGCCTTGAGCAGGGCCTGGACTAGCTATGACCTCTTGAGGGTCCTGCCAGCAAATAGGATCCTGTCTGCTGCACCACCTTGTGCTATCGGGGTGGGTGCTGCTCTTTTGGTGACCAGCTCCTGTCCTGTTCTCTCAGCACCGGGAGCCCCGACTGCTGGTGACATGTGGTTTCGACTGCCCTCCCGGCGAAGGCATCTTTCTATGCAGAGACAGTAGTGTTGGGCGGTCCTCTGGGGTGGAGGCCTCGTGGGTTAGTCATTCTGTCCTCATAAGCCAAGGTCCAGACACTCAGCTGTCGCTCTGATTTCCCTCGCGTGCCTAGGCCGCTTCCTAGAGATGCACATGTACATGACGTCCGCCCTGGGCAAGAACGACATGAAGGCCATCGGCCTGCAGATGGCTTTAGACCTCCTGGCGAAGAAAGAAAAGAAGGACTCCATCACGGGACTGAGGACCAGAACCCAGCCAGGCCGCCCCAACTGGAGCAAGGTAATGGGGCAGGAAGCCAACTCAACAGTACTCTTCGCTGTCTGGAACAATACTTGCTGGACAGGCTGAGACCCAGGTTACGGTGCCACAGGAGACAAAGCCAGAGCAGCCAGCAAGGAGCTGCATGGGGAGAATCGAACACACAAGCCTGGTGTCTGTCTCCTTACCTAAGAGGTTCCCACAGTAGCAGATGGGAGGTTTGCTCAATAGAAAGCAGGGTAGAGTTGCACTTATAAACTAGAGACATTGTTTGCTGTGTTAGTCTGAAGTCAAGTAGAAGCCAGGGTAGATTTGCACTGTAGAGACTAACCCAAGTAGATCATCCATCCATCCATCCATCCATCCATCCATCCACATTATATAGACTAACCCAAATAGATTATCTATCTATCTATCTACACCATATAGACTAACCCAAGTAAATCATCCATCCATCCACATTGTACAGACTAACCCTAAAAGATTATCTATCTATCTATCTACACCATATAGACTAACCCAAGTAAATCATCCATCCATCCACATTGTATAGACTAACCCTAAAAGATTATCAATCTATCTATCTATCTACACCATATAGACTAACCCAAGTAAATCATCCATCCATCCATCCATCCATCCACATTGTATAGACTAACCCTAAAAGATTATCTATCTATCTATCTATCTATCTACACCATATAGACTAACATCCATCCACACTGTACAGACTAACCCAAATAGATTATCTATCTACACCATATAGACTAACCCAAGTAGATTATCTGGCTATCTATCTAGATTGTCTCCCTCTCTCTATCCATCTGTCCATCCATCCACACAGCAAGATCTTTTGTGGGCTCTAGCTCACTGCATCAGATGCTGTGACAGGACACGCACAGAGCAGTGTATAAGGGGAGAGAAATCTGAATGCATAAGAGAAGGGAGCGGGGTTGGGGGGGAAAGAGGGAGAAGAGAGGAGCAGGGCAGTGCTAGAAGAGACAAACAAGCAAACAATAAACCCATAGGAGAAAAGAGGTCATGAAAGCTAACTCAGATAGTGCAATAAGACTGCAGTCCCTGTTTAAACCAAACTTAACCAGTTCAGTCTACAGGTGATTTCCTGTTCCCATTCAAATTGGTGTTTAAAAGTTTGCTGTCTGAGCGCAGCCACCCTGAGGTCAGCGACGCATGACCAGGGAGGGTGAAGTGTCTGCCCCAGGCTTGTGTGTCTTTCCAGCATCAGAGCGGCGGTCATTCCTCCCGTCATGCAGAGACCGCCCCGTCTGCGCAGCGCAGGCAGCAGAGGGGTGCTGGGAGCAGGTGATGGCGTGTCTGACTTGTAGGGAGTTTCAAGCGAAGGAGCCTCGGGTGCTCCAGTCCATGCGATGTTGCACTGATCGGCACCCCATGGCTTTGCTTCATGCTGGAAGAGACCGAGAGAACCGATGGTTCATTAAGGATGTCTGCGCTGGCTGTAAAATCTGACCTCGAGCTCTGCTTTTCCCTCCCTTCTCTGCCCTTCCTCTCTGGCAGGTCTTTCAGAAGATTGCAGAGGAGAACAAAGGGAAAGTCCAAGTCTTCTTCTGCGGGTCTCCTGCCCTGGCGAAGGTCATCAAAGCTCATTGCGAGCAGTTCAGCTTCCGATTTTTCAAAGAAAACTTCTAACCCTCTCCAGTGTGGGAGCTTGCCGTGGTAGGTGATGTGCTATGTCTGTGTTTGCTGCCTGTCTGGATCGTGCCTGCCTTCCTCTCACCTCAAGCAATGGGAACAGTTTTATGTCTGCACAGAGCGCGTTCTCCAAGTCCTTTGCCAATAAAGTGCGCTTGTGCTATGCTGAACCTGATGTCTGGCCAGACCTGCTCAGTCCTGCTGTCATCAAAGATAGTCACACGGGCATCTCTTGTGTGCTATGAAGGCCCCATGGATAAGGGTGAGCTCCCTGCTTGGGGTAAGATCAGGGAAGGTGGAGGCAGCACTTCCAACTGGTCCCAATTAGAGGAACTTCCTGCCCTTGAGAAGCTGCAGAAATAGGTGGGAGGATGGGACACTGATGTTGTCACACCGGATCAACTCCCCATGCTGAGATGTCTTGCCCCGGGCAGCATCCAGGACCTTAGAGAAACCACAATCAGCACAGCTACGGTATCACCTGTCCCCAGGTAAATACCTTCCTGATCCCAGTTTGTTAGAGTGGTTCCCTGACGCATGGGTGTTTGTGGCTCTGCCATGCTTAGCACCTGTGGGTTAAACTAAGCTTCTGGGTTTGGCTCCCGGCACTGGGGTTTGTGACGTCAAAACACCTGCCAGCACACGAGGGTTTATGGAGTGACCTGGGACCAACGAGGAACGTGGCAGCTTGCATGGGAAATAGGTGCAGGCCACAAAGCTGGTCCTGACCTTAGGGATGCTCCGATCCAGGATTTGATCTGGCCCAGAACAAAATCCAGATCCTTCCTGGGGTTTAGACTTTGAATGTCTCCAAAGTCCAGATGTTTCTGGGCCGGGGTGGTTGGTCTCTGCTAAATACCATCATCCAGTTGATATTGCAGAGAGTTGCATCCACTGCCCTTGTTCTCCGTAGTGTAGACAGGTGGCCGCCGGGAGTCTGATGCACCGTCTGGGCCTGGTTGCGAGGTAGGTTTGCAGGGAGGCAGCTCTAACATATGTGAATGGAGAGCGGGGGGACGGCACAGCTCCTTCCCACCCAGTGAGCACCTAGCATCACCTGGACATGCCTCTTGCTGTACAGAGTAGGACATGGACCAGTGGCTTGAAGTTGCAGCAAAGTGGGTTTTTGGGTTGGATCTCAGGAAACACTTCTTCATTGTCAGAGCAGAGAGGCCATGGGATAGACACCTGTTAGTCATCCCTGCCAGGTGCACGTTACCACCCCGAGCACAGGGGGATCTCCGCTGGATCCTCCAGGTGCCAGAGAGCTGTGCTAGAGGCACTGGCCCGGCAGAGACGAGGCAGAGAGCCTGTCTTGGTTTCTCAGGCTGGAGGAAACATCCCTTAAAGTCCTGTCCTGACCATGGTGGACCTGCCTGCGTTCCTAATGCACCTGGGCAGGCAGCGTGATCAGTGCTTCCTCCCCGGCATCTCCCTGCCTCTTTGGTGGGGTCTCACCTGACCTGGAGGGCACATGGGCAGCTGAAGGCAGGAGAAATGCAGGACGCAGGAGCACGAGGAGGCCGAGGCAGCTGCTGGCAGAGGGGATAACACCGACCAGGTTCCTGCTAGGAGCCATTGGGGTTTCCAGCTCTCTGTCAGCACGGCACGGGGCTGCTTTGCTTCGGGTCTACTCCATGCACTCCGCTTCGTGCACGGCACGTTGCATGCAGACACGGGCGGGCTTTGGCAGCGGGGGTGCGTCTGGTTGTGTCGCTGCAGTTTTTGGAAAGTGAGCGATACCAAAACTGAGGTTCCCCCATGGGTGTCACAGGGCAGGCAGGGCACACGCCGGGTTCCCAGTTCAAGATTGGCTTTCTCTAAGACCAGATCACCTCCCGTAATGTGGGCAGGGGGGGTTTGGCTGGGGAAGCTGCCCCTGATTCTGCTAAGAGCTAGACTCCATCCGGACCCCAGCGCCGTGACGTGCCAGCCCAGTCCAGGTCTGGCTGCGGCCAACGGGGCTAGCTCTGCGTTCCCTTGAGGCGGCTGGGAAATTATTCTCCCTTCCCAGAAAAGTATCAGCACAACTTTCTGGATGAAAATTTTCCATGAATGTTTTCTGTGGTTTTTACTGCAAACCTAAAACAAGAAACCCAATGACCAAACCCCCCAGTAACAAGAGGTATGACTCTTTCTGGTTACAATTAACTAGTTCAGAGCCTGGTCCACTTCTTAGGTGCATAACTGGACTTAGATGTCCAAGTGCAATTCTAGCCCACCCTGTTCAAATCCCTGGAAAACAGCAAGTGCAAGCGGTGGGGGGGTCCTCCTGCTCCGGGATGCTTTTTGTGCCCCAGTCTCAGGGGGAGATGAGGCCGTGTTAGAGGTGGATGCACTGGCAGATTTTCAGGGACTTGAGCAGGGTGGAATAGAGTTGCACTTTGGGTGTCCAAAATCTACTCCGACATCGAATAGGTGCACAGGCGTCTGGCTCTGCGTGAGCAACGCGACTGGGGTGACTCCCACGCTTGAAGTTAGGCCAATACGTGTGTGTCACGCTGCGGGTGCTGCTTGCCGTGTGCGTCTCCAGGTCTCTGTCACGGGCCCTCAAAGCTGGAGTTACACTCGGGAGACAACTGATCCTCCCCAGGCAAGGGGAAAGCCGAGGGGAGAGGGGATGTTCCCCAGCACGTGCCTCTGAGAAGCATCTGATTCGGAGCATCTGACAATGTCGGCTGTGGCCTGTGAACTGCCACGCACCGGGTCCAGCTCGCGCAGGTGCCTCGCAGACAGCAGAGGCTGGAAGCAGAGCGAGCTGAGTCTGATCATTAAAGATATTTTTTGCAAAAACCCAGTTGGTATCACCTCTACCACGAGGTCTGCTTCCTGAGTCTGACCAGTGCTCCTCTCTCCCTTGCAGCCTCCAGCAGTGAAGGTCCAGGAAGCTCTGAAGCAGAGGCCGTGCTCCTCGCTCCTGTGCTCCCTAGCTACAGATGCCCTTTCCTCCAAGCACCTGTCCGGTCCCTCAGTGAATCTGGCTGTCGCTGCATCTTCACCCACGAAGGGCAGGAAGGTATCTTTTACCTGCCCTCGAGGGTGGAAAAAATGCAAAGAAACCCAGCAGCTCCAAGCCTGGTCGGGCAGGGGATCTCCTGTGCCGCTGAGCCAGTGCCGCCCTGACCCCTCTCTGCAAAGCGGGGAGCCAAGGCCACGTCCACGTCGCTGAATCGTTTGGCCACAAGAGTGCACTGCAGCCTTTGCAAACACGGCTCCTCGGGCCCGCGGGCGGGGAGGGAGGGAAAGGCAGGCCATCCGCACCCAGGTGTTGCATGCACCCAGCCCCAGCGCGCTGGGGCCTGCAAGCCGTTTCCCTTGGGAATAGCAGCCAGGCCCAGTGCTGCAAGAGCCAGTTTGTGGAGAGCGGCTGGTGCAGCCCCACGCGCCTTGTTGGCTCCTCGCAGCTCTGGGACAGGCCCTTCACACCGCAAGCCCCTCCATTGTGATCGTGAGGTCTTGGGCACCGGCTTCTGAGTTTATGCAGGGCTGGGTGCCCTGATCTCCGCTGGATCCTCCTGGCTGGGCTGGTAGAGACAGCCCACCTTGACTTCTCAGGCATTTCCCGTGTACTGCCCGGGGGGAACATCCCTTCAGCTCCTCTCCTTCTGCTCACGAGTTCCTAATGCACTTGCATGGGAGATGGGTGCAGGGCGTGTGATCAGTGCATCCCCCCAGCACCTCCCGGGGCTAGCCCTGGCGGGACACATGAATCAGGGCTGTCCGCCCAGCGTCGATGCATTGAGCAGCCTGTAGCCCCGAGGGTCCCCGGGGAGCCGCGTTTCAGATCCCCCGAGCCAGCTTTGCAGTGGGTCCCGGGCAGGTTGTGCCAGAGATGGAGGAGTCTCCCCACGCCGCTCTCCCAGGGATGTGCTGGTGCAGCTGCCTCTCCCGGCTATGGGGTGGGCAGACAGCTAGGAGATTTGGGACCCCAAGGCTGGACAGCGGGATATCTCAGTGCCCTTGGTTTCTGTCTCAGCCCGCTCCCTCCATACAAGAACAGGTCCCTCTAGTAACGATAAATGCCATTAGGCCGTGCCTTTAGTTAAGGGCAGGCAGGCGCCTTTTACTGTCCGGTGGATGTTCTCTTTATTATCCAGGGCTCCCCGGGGAGCAATTGCTGCTCTAAACAAACACTGGCATTAAGCTGCATTTCCTGGCAGATTTATGTGTCGCTTTATGAGCTGCCTGCGCAATATGCTGACGCTTCCGTTTTAAAAAATAAGATTCATTCAGATGAGACGTTTCTTTTATGGGGAAACTGTCCACCGGGGAAGCCAGCTGAGACACCAAAAACAGGACGCTGGAAAGGGCCGGGAGGGAGCGGGCTCGCTGGCCTTGAGTGCAAAGGCACCCGCCGCGGCCCATCGCCCAGGGAACAAGCTTTTTTCCCAGCAAAGGACAGCCTGGACAGTGGGGCTTTGTACTGAATCCTGGCTTGGGGGTCTTCCAAGCAAATCACAGGCCCATCTGAATACCTGAAGGCTGTTTTGCCATCAAGGGAGGGAGGAGCAGGGCCGGTGGCTGCAAACTTTGCTTGTGGAAACAAGCAGGCGGCGACCTGGAGTCGGGCAGAGAGCAAAGGGGCCAGGGTTGCTTTGTGTGCAAGGCTCAGTGCAGTCCAGGTCGGGTCTGGAAACCGGAGGCAGAGCAGGCTGGATTTCAGCTGGCGTTGGCGGGTCCGGCTCCGTCGGCTCCAGCTGGGGACTGGCACGCAGGTGTGCCACCCCGCCGGCTGGCCCCGGGCCCTGCCCTTTGCTTTGAGAAACCAGAGGTTGCTTGGGATCTGCCCGTCTTCTCTCGCTGGGCGGATGGAGAGGGAGCCAGCGCTTGCAAGGGCTGCAGGAAAGCAAACTGCTGTCAGAGTGTCACCGGCGTGTCCAGTGCTGCACGCGGACTCGGTGTTCACCCCCGGCATGGCCCGGCAGGGTCCCGATCCTGCGGTTGCTTCACAAAACTCTTGTCAGGGTGGATTTGCAAGCAGGGGATGGGTGAACGGTCCAGGCCCGAGGCCCCAGTGTGATAATCTGAGCCGCGTCAGGATCCAGGAAGGCTGCCAGCTCCGGGGGTGGGTGGGTGGGTGGGAGCGGGGGCAGCAATTTTAGCCTCTCCTC